GGGGACGCACAGATTCCACCCCCTGAAAGGACCGGGCAATGTAGACTCTGAGTCCAGGCCGGGCTCCGGCGTGTGCGGTCGGGGCGGCTCACGGGCGGAACCGGGGACGCAAGCCTGTTCTGGGGCCGATCCCAGCAGAAGACAAACCCAAAGACACGAGTGACTACAAAGGAAGGACATGGGGACTCACCCCTAAGGCCACAGGCTGAAGGACAGGGACGGGGCCGGGATGGTGCCTCAGACCGTCACACAGGTGCGTGCTGCATCGGGGCCCTGCCCCTGGGGGCCTGAGAGCCCGGCTGAGGTTTCTGTCCTTCCGCACAGCCCTGGGCACGGGCAGCCTCCGTCCACGGACACGTGGGAGTGCCGGGGGTGGGGAGGGCGGCCCCGGGAGTCCAGGGGGAAAGGCATGAGCGCTGCTGACCGGATGCCTGTTTTATACCCTGCTGATCAGACGCACCCGGTCCAGACCGTCCCGCCGTCATGGGATGGGAACGAGGCTTTGCTGACAGCCAGGTGGGGACTGTCAGCGCTTCCAAACACACAGCAGGAGCACTGCTGACCGAGAGGCTCCGAAACAGACCCGCCGACAACACGCCGGTCTCCCCTAGACAGGCGACTCCAGGGGCAGAGGCCCCTCCACCCCACACAAGCACGCCGGTCCCCACAGGCCGACCCGGCCAGTCCCTCCAGTGCCCTGGGCCACAGTCTGAGCCGTGACCTTCCTTGGCCTGGCTCCTTGTGCCCTCGGAGCAGGGGCCTGCCTGCCCCAGCCTCACGCTGCCTGCTGGCTTCTGTGGATGTTGAACCCCAGCCCGTTTGCACGTTTCAGCTGCCGGTTCTGAGCCCCCCCCCCCCCCCGGCTCACTGTGGGGGAAGCTGATCTGAACTCCACTGTGGGGGAAGCTGAGCGGTGAACTCAGGAGCCCACGGAGCTGCTGGGCAAGACTGTCACCGACCACGTGGGTTCAGAGTGCACCCCACCAACACCAGTGAGCTCGCTCCAACAGGAAAACGATCATTTCGCATTTCACTTTCATGTTTCAGAAAAGCACTTAAATAGCACAAGGTCCTGGGGAAACCACAAGTGGGAGACCCACTCC